AAATGTTGGCAATGGCAGGCCATCAAAGTCATTCAAATAATGCGAGCCTCAGAGAGTGAGAGAGGGGGAGAGAGAGAGAAACAAAGGAATTCAAAGCAAATAAAAATGGAAAAAAATGCAGTCAAATGGCCAACATAAAATACAATTATATAATTTAAAAGCCTCACACGCACGTAAACATACATACATTACTAAATAGGGGAGTAAACAAAAACAAATAAAAAATACCCAAAAACACCCAAAACTCGGTTAACATACATCCGAAAAAAAAACAAACGGAGAAAGAAAAGCATTTTGTAAAATGTTTTTGTTAATATCGTTTGTTTTTTATTTTTTAAACAATAAAAATCCATGAATTTTGTCATCGTTGTCAGTGTTTTGCTTTCGCCCCATTCGTCCGCAAGCATGGGAGGAGCATTTGTAAAACAAACGACTTAAGACACAAACATGCCCGAGCTCCAAATCCATATTTAAGTGATTCGATTCATTATCAAATTTGCAAATTTTTGCGTTTGGGTTTTTGGTGTTTGGTGCTTTTTTTGCACTCCACGCTTGTGTAATAACCTTGCAAAAATATTATCAAATTCCAAAAGTTATTAATTAAGACGAAACGCAGACATGCACACACACACTCGCAATATGATAATTAAATTTTTGCAAAGTTTTTAATTCAACAGCCAAAAAAAAAACATGAATCGATAAAATCAAGGGCTAATATTTTGTTGAATTATATATTCATTAGCAAAGAAATAATTCGAAGACCAGCTGAAGTTCAGGTGGTAGTTTGAGAAGAAAGGCTAAATTCGAAAATGGGGAGCTGACTGGATGTATATTTTTCAAGAGGGCTAGGAAATCGTTGAAAAAACATTATTCCCTCTTACTAAAATCGGAAGCTAAATTTATATGCTGGGTGTAAACAAGAGGGAGTTTTGACAGAGCTGGCGATCCCTAGGTTTTCTCATACAAGAAAATAATTAATTAATTATTTTTTTACGTTTGGCGCCAAATTATTCGTGAATAAAAATTGAGGTCTTCTCACCGCTTCTGAGACATCAAAACCCTTAGTTTTTTTAAGGGCTCTTCAAGCTTTCAGGTTCCATACTACATTTAAATTCGGAAATGGGCAGATGTACCAAAACTTGGTTTTATATTTTCCAGGAGGGTTGGAAACTCCTTGAAAAAACGTGAGGAAATCCTTACTAAAATCGGAAGCTAAATTTATATGCAGGGCGTAAAAAAGAGGGAGTTTCAACAGACCTGGCGATCACAAGGTCTTCTAATGCAAGAAAATAATCAAATCCTCGAAAAAGGATGTCGTCCTAAAAATAATCATTTTTCTCACGTTGGGCGCCAAATTATTTGTGAAAAGAAATGGAGATCTTCTCACCGCCTCTAAGACCTCAGCGCCCTTAGTTTGTCTTTAAGGATTCTTCAGCTTTATAAATTCGAAAATGGGTAGCTGTACCAAAACTTGGATTTATATTTTGCGAGAGGTTTGGGTACTCGTTGGAAATCGTGATAAGATCCTTAGAATAATCTAAAATCGGAAGCTAAATTTATATGCTGGTCGTAAACAATCGGGAGTATACAAGAAAATAATGAAATTTTTGAAAAAGGATGTCTTTCTAAAAATAATATTTTTTTCCGTTGGGCGCCAAATTATTTGTGAATAGAAATTGAGGTCTTCTCGCCACCTCTAAGACCTCAAGACCCTTAATTTTTCTTTAAGACCTCTTCAAGCTTTCAGGTTCCATAATACGTTTAAATTCGGAAATGGGCAGATGAACCAAAACTTGGTTTTATATTTTCCAGGAGGTCTAAAGTATCAAAAATCAGAAGCTAAATTATATGGTGGACCTAAATAATAGGGTTTTTTTACAGGCCTGGCGATCACAAGGTATTTTCTCATGCTAGAAAATAATGAAATCCTTGAAAAAGGGCGACTTTCTAAAAATAATCAATTTTTCCCGTTGGGCGCCAAATTATTTGTGAATAGAAATTGAGGTCTTGTCACCACCTCTAAGAACTCAAGACCCTTAATTTTTCTTTAATACCTCTTCAAGCTTTGAGGTTCCATAATACATTTAAATTCGGAAATGGACAGATGTACCAAAACTTTGTTTTATATTTTCCAGGAGGTCTAAAGTATCAAAAATCGGAAGCTTAATTATATGGTGGACCTAAATAATAGGGTTTTTTACAGACCTGGCGATCACAAGGTATTTTTTCATGTTCGAAAATAAATAAAATCCTTGAAAAGGATGTCTTTCTAAAAATAATAAATTTTTCCCGTTGGGCGCCAAATTATTTGTGAAAAGAAAATGAGGTCTCCTCGCCGCCTCTAAGACCTCAGCGCCATTAGTTTGTCTTTAAGGATTCTTCAGTTTTCTAAATTTGAAAATGGGGAGCTGTACCAAAACTTGGATTTATATTTTCCAAGAGGTTTAGGTACTCGTTGGAATACGTGTTGTAATCCTTAAAAGTATCAAAAATCGGAAGCTAAATTATATATGCTGGTCGTAAACAATCGGAAGTTTTATCAGACCTGGCGATCACTAGGTCTTCTCATACAAGAAAATAATGAAATCCTTGAAAAAGGATGTCTTTCTAAAAATATTTTTTCCGTTGGGCGCCAAATTATTTGTGAAAAGAAATTGAGGTCTTATCGCCACCTCTAAGACCTCAACGTCTAAATTCAAAAATGAGGAGCTGTACCTAAATTTGGATTTATATTTTGCAAGAGGTTTAGGTATTCGTTGAAAATCGTGATAAGATCCTTAAAAGTATCTAAAATTCGGAAGCTCATATTTCCGATCATCTTTGGACACTTTGGACTGTTCGGCCAGCAAATCTTGCCTAGAAACGTCAAGTATTTTCCTCTTTATTTTTACTGGAGACACTTTGATCCCCAAAAACTAGCTTATAAAGATAAGACACCTTTCGATTTCTGTATAGATTCCTTGCCCTCTGTTCTCCCAGCTTCGAAACTCTTTTGGAGGCTCTATGATACTTTAGCCTGTCTTTTAATACTCCCTCAACCTTTGGATCATCTTTGAGGAGTTCTTAAGTTTCTGATAGACCCATCTCTAAAGTCAGATATTCTGGAGTATCCAGAGGCTCCATGACACTTCTACATGCCGTACAGGACTTCCATTGCCTTTATCTGGTCTAGATGGGTTCTTTGCTATTTAAGGAGAAAACTTCTAGGAGAAACCTTCAGCAGACCCAAATCTTGCCAGGGATTCCCATCATCCTGACTTGGGTATCCTAATGGTTTCTCCAAGAAGTTTTCTCAATATACTGCCTAAAAGAACTTCATAAGCTTCTCGTCATCCCAGGCAGGATTTGGATCCCCTAGAGGTTTCTCCAAGAAGTTTTCTCAATAAATATCAAAGAACCCTGTCTCTTTGACGCTTAGTTTCTCTAATAATTGCCTATTTAGGCTCAAGCTCTTCCGATCACCATGCAGATCACCTGTCGTAGCCTTCTGCCCATAATCGGTCAAGGCAGTTGGAAAACGTCCATAAAATTTAGATTTGCTGTCTTTGTTTTCGATCCTTTGACGTGGAAAAAAAAAACGATTTGCCAGGGTCTACGAAGATACGATAAGTCTTTGTCCAATTTTTGAAGACTTCATAAGCTTTAGATCTCCTTTCAAACAGGGTTAGCTATCAAGGCATAATCAGACAAGGCAGTTGGAAAACGTCCACTGTCCTTCCTTTCGATCCTTTGACATGCCAACAACGATTTGCCAGATTCTACAAAGATACGATGAGTCTTTGGCCAATTTTTGAAGACTTCATAAGCTTTAGATCTCCTCTCAAACGCGGTCAGCTAACACACCGTCTCTCGAGAAATGGAAGAGTTACTCTTCCGGAGTTCGTGTCTGTGAAAAAGACACAATCAAAGGTTTGGTTTTGGTAATTTTGGCTAACCCTGCTCTAAAGACTCCCAGACTTTCGGCTGATCTCTAAAATCTTAATTCACAGCCTGCAGACCTTTTTTAGAGATTCAGATATGCAGACCTTTTTATTGAGATTAACTTGCTATTCCTGGTCCTTTGGCCTGCCAAAAAAACCCCCTAGTCTACAAATGCTTCTTGAGTGTTTAGCAGGTTTCAAGGACTCCCAGACATTCCTCTGGATGTTCACATGCAGAATCTTTTCCCAAATCGGAATAAAATTCTCAAATTACAATAAAAATGTTTCGAATTACGTCCAAAAAAGGTTCTGAAAAAGGCTCTGAGCTGGTCCAGTTTAACTCTCTCCTTTAAATCCTCTCCGAAATAAAGTTAAGCCTTTGGGTATCTCTAATTCATCGTCTCCTCTATGAAGACGTAGGGAGCCTTCAGCAGGCCCTCCATAGACCCCCTTTAGCCACAGATGGCCCAACAAAAACTTCTTGAGCTTCCAGTTGTCTATGAAGTCCTTCTTAACCTCAGCATATTTGTAAAGACTCTTCGGACTTTCAGTTAGCCTATGGAGTCTCCTGACCTATATGGGTAGGGGGTATTTCCTGTTTCCCCTACCTGGCCGGGCATACCTTTGCATTATCTTTCAAATATTGGCACTTTTTTTACATTTCCCCTCCGGACATTCCCATGGCAATACGAAATTGTTTACTTGATGTCACAACCCCTGTTTTCCTGTCACCATTACAACATTTATTCGCCATAGAGACGTTATGTTTATAATAGGCGTCACTTCAACCAGTTTCCTGGCCATTCGGCGACTAGCTGGCTGGCTCTGGGCCATAAACTATAATTAAGCAGCAGAAGCGAGGCAAAGAGGAAAAAAAGCGGCTTCCAATAAACAATTAGAAGTGAATGTTCGAGATTTATTTTTAAAAAACAAGTTGTAAGCAAATTAGTCGGAGATGCAGTGCCGAAGATGATAATGACGACACAATTACATAGCTGGGGGGATGCTCTCCAAAGCCATTAAAAATTTGAAATACGACAGCGATTTGGAAAATAAAAATTGTTTTTCTTTTCTTTACAGCCTTTGCCATGAGACATCCTCTCAAAATATTGCCACTCACACTGTGGTCCCTACTGCTCCTGGTCCCCTGTGTTCGGTGCTACCCCAGTCTGGTGGCGCGAAATGATTTAAGAGCCCGTCTGCTGCAACAAGTGGAGCGTTCTTCATATTTGGATGCCCCTGAAGTGTTGGAGGAAACCATACATGAGGTCCAGCAGATATTGAATCAGGATCCTACTTTGCCAAGGTTAACCAGGTGAGTATCCTTTTTTCCCCACCATATGACCCCTGTAATATCTTCCTCCCTCCCTTTTTTGGCAGAGGAGAAATCGAGGAACTCTATGAAAAAGTCACCCGAGAAGAATACCAAAAAAGCCTGGCAGCTGGAGATAAAGTTCGGGCCGACAGCATGCGTGCCCTAATGCTCGTGCTGCCCTACAACACGGACAACAATACCGAGGAGAATTTACAGGTTCCTAGTGGCGCCCAACACCCTTGTCCTTAGAAAAATTTTTAATATTTTGTGGTTTCTTTCAGGAACTTTTCACCCGTCCCCCGGTAACCAAGGTCATTGATTCCTACTCCTCCCACCAGCCCATACAGTTCCTAACACCTTCAGCCCAAAATGAAGGCCGACCGGAATCCAGCCACCCCGTGGGCCTTGTGGATCCCACAACCTATAAACCCCAATTTGTCATCCGGCAAACCCAAGGTATGTCCCTAAATCCCACAACCTATCATCCCTCCAATCCTCCCTCTGTTCTATATCGCATGACTCCCGCAGCGGATAGTGTGGTGCCTTTCAAGCCCTTGGTCACGGATTTCCCCTCGAATCATGCCTATGGCACGGCCGAGCAATCGTCGAAGGCGGGTCAACGCTTCAGCAGCCATTACAGTGCCAAAGATATGGAGTTCCTGAAATTGGCATTGGAGAAGCAGAAGAGGAATACCCCGGCCACAACAACCATAAAACCAGTGGCTGATATCCTGGAGTCCATGGGCATTGTGAGCCAAACCCAATCGCGACACAAGGATGTATTCGATGACTACTATGCGGCGGAAAGTGCCCAGGTGCCGCAGGTGGTGAGTGTGGCAGATTTAAAGGGGCTCCGCCAGCAAAGTTTGGCGCCCAAAATCAAACCCGATGCCTATTCCATGTTTAAGCCCCTGAATATTGGTGAGGAAATTCGTGTCAAACCCGAGGTGGAGGGATATCTCACCAGGTTTGGCATTGTGGGCGGCAGGCGGAGGAAGGCCATTAAAAAGAATGAGGCCTCAGCCACCACCCAAAATGCCCTGGAGCAGCTGAGTGAGGGCAGTGAAGTGGCCACGGCCAAGGTACCCTCCGGCAATCTTGGCAAGGGCAAGAAGGGTGCCTCCAGCAGTGAAACGGAATTATCCAAACTTTTGGAAAATCTCAGGGAATTGGAAAGGCTGAATGTGAATCCTAAGGCGGTGATAACCACCCCTAAACCCAGGCCCACCACAGCCAGGACAACAACAACTTCGACCACTACAACCACCTCCACCACCACAACAACTACCCCTCAGCCTCTGATCACCAATGGCGAACCCATGCTTATTGAGCCCAAAAAGCCCAGGCGCCGTATTGATCCCAATTTCGACATCAACTTTGGTAGCCAGGGCAATCATCAGACGGAGGGTGGTCAGGCGGATCAGCTAAGTCAGCTATTGAAAAATTTACAGGAATTGGAAAATCTACAGGTCAAGCCGCAGACGGCCTTAAGGGGTGGTGTTGTTACTCCCACCCCGAAAGGTAGCAGTGGTCAGGCCTCAAGACCAGTGGCCGCCATCAACCCAGCTCCCGTCACCAGTTCCCCTAGCGTGGAGAGCCAAACCCTGGGCAATCGTTTTGCCACGGGACTCACTCCACAACAACATCTCTTGCAGCTGCAGCAGCAGGTGCGTCAGGGTCAAACCCAGCCAGATCTCCAGCAATTGCAATTGGTTTTACAACAACTACAGGCAGCGGAACGGGCCAATGCCAAGACCACCACAAAGCCTCCCACCACCACCACCACGACCACCAGGAATCCAGCCTTGACTTCCCTGGCCAAATTTAATGCCTTGACACCGCAACAGCAGCTGGCCTTACTGCAACAACAGGTTCAGGCTTCCCAACGTCAAGGTGTCCAACCGGATGTACAACAATTGCAACAGGTGCTGCAACAATTGCAGGCCTATGAACAGAGGACTACCAAGAAACCCACTACCACTTCCACCTCCACGACGACCACCACCAAAAAACCGGTGGGAAATTTGGATGCCCAGTTGGGCGCCACCGATATTTGGCAGCTACGCAAACTGCTGACCGATGACAGTGAACTAGAAAAGCTTTTCAATCAGGCCAAGGCCAGGCAGCAGCAACAACAACAAAAACCTGCCACAACTAGTACCACCTCCACCAGCACCACCACAAGTACCACCAGGAGACCCCCTTCGGGCCCCTCGCTCAATGAATTGATGGAATTGCAGAAATATTTCAAGGAATTGGATAGGGCCAATAGTCGAACCACCACCAGCACCACAACAACGACACCTGTGCCCACCACAACCTCAACTACAACAACCACCACTCCAGCTCCGACAACAACCACAACTTCCACCTCCACCAGCACCTCAACGACAACAACAACCACTCCACGGCCCGTGGTGCGCACCTACGACGAAGAACGGCCCAAAAAACAATCAGCGGATCAGCTACAATTGCAGGAACTTATCAACAGGGTGCAGCAGCTGGAACGCCTGAATAGTCAACCTGCCAACCATCTACCCAGCCCTCTGGCCACAGATACCCCACTATCCCCCCTACTGGGCTTCACCACACGCAACGTCAAGGCTCCGCAGGTGGAAGATTATCGCCTGCCCGTCAATGATTTTGCCAATTTGCGAACGCTCTACAATCAAGTGGAGCAGGCCCAGCAGAGGGCGCAATATGGCGAAGTGGAAATCTCCACCAAAGCCACAGCGGCCAAGGCCTATGAGGAGCTGTATGACAGCACAACCAAGCGGTCGCAGAATTTCGCTCAGCGTATCATTGACATCACCAATGATACCGGGTCCGGAAGCAGCCTCTCCCAGGTGGATGCCAATGAATTTGTGCAATTGCAGAAACTGCTCAGCAAGGTACAGGAATTGGAGAGGGTGCGCATTAATTTACCCACACCCAATCCTCGAGGAAAAATAGAAAGGGAAGTGACTCCAGCTCCCTCTTCGCTACTCAGTGCGGCCTCGCAGAGGACCCAGAATGTACAGAAGTTAAATGGCGCCCAACTTGTGTATGCCAATCACAAGATGACCTATGAGGATGAGGAGCAAAGAGCCCCTGCCAAGGACACCACCTATAAGAAGTTCGAGGAAATGCTGCTGAAGGAAGATGATTTGCGTCTGGACTTGCCAACCTACAAACAAACCCTAGAGCGACCCTACATTGCCAAACCAAAGGAGGAGGAGGAAGAGAAGAGGAGACCCCCTCAAGATTCCCAAACCTCAAGTGAGGAACTCAAGGAAATTGTCTATGCCCAACCCTATGTAGAAGGCAATGCCTACAAGAACCTGCAGCCACCAATGATACACAAAACCGTTACCAAGGAGCCACCACGTTTTGTGGCCACCAAGGGTCCGCTGGAGGTCAATAAGGTTGTGGCCAAAGAGAAAATGGATTTGGAGGAATTGCAGAAGCTACTCAACAATGCCCAGGAACTAAAGAAGCTGGGCATAAGTCTGCCCAAGGAATTGACAGAGAAATTGGAAACGAAGTTTGAAACTCCTGCCGCAAATTTGGAGTTGAATAAGCCATTGGATTTGGCCAGCATTAGGCCGGTGTTCCGGGCCACCACAGAGTCGCCGGAGGAGGAGGAAAAGATATCCGAAAAGACAGCTGTATTCTCGCTGACCACCATGAAGTCGTTGGTGCCCCGGCCTCCCAAGACCACCACGGAGAGTAGCGTGGAAAAACCCGTCTTTAGTGCCACCAAAATCATTGAGGCTGCCATCAAGAGGGCAGCCAATCAAATTGGTGTGTCCACAGAGTTTCCGGCCGGCGAAGGATTCCGCAGGCGCAGTGATGATAATGTGGAGGATTTGCAGTTTGCTGACAGTGATGATGATATGGTGGCCGATTTCAGTGAATTCAATTATCAAATGGCCCTGCCGGAGGGAGAACTGCGTAGTGAGGAACAATCAGTCGTCAAAGCCGAAGAATCTGCCGCTCCTGAACCTGATCTTACCAAAGATCTAAGTGAACTACAAAGGCTCATTAAAAATCTCGAGGAGTTACAGAAACTAAATATTAGCAGCAATGATAAGCTGCTGAGGCAAGCCGATGCCCAGTATTTGGAGTCCCTGAAAAGGACCCAGAGACCTGAAGATGATACCATTAAAACTCGCCGGCAAAGTGAGGAGTCCACCGAAGCCACCAGTCCTGTGACTCAAGACAGCAGTAGCATGGCAAATCCCACAAGGGTACAATTGAATCTCAACTTGGATGAGGTTACCCCGAGTCCCAGCAGCGAAACCTCAACTGCCAGTAGCACTACGACAACCACAACCACAGAGGAGTCACGTAATGGCTCCTTGGCGGACCTGGAAGACTCTTTTGGCCCAGATCCTGTCACCGAATCACCACCACCACCCATGAAGAAAAATGGTTTCTATTTCCTGGCCGATTGGAATAGCTTCCTGGAAGTTGGCGACGGTGATGATCAAGTGGTCGTGCGTTTAAGTCCCAAAATAGGTGATCCTCGGCTATTTTTACCAGTTAAAATTCCTTAGATAAGTTAGTAAAAAACAGGGTAGCTATGGTTAGGTTTATATTTTTTGTAGACTAAAGCAAGAAATAACTTTGTAAATATATTCATCTAATATAAGCTGTACTAAGAGTAGAAAAAGCTTTGCTTCAACCGCGAAGTCCCTCTTTGGAGCAGGGGGGTCTATCATGGCAAATCTAGTGGAATTTTTCCTTTTCATATTTTTTTGTTGTTGCAATTATTAGTTTTATAGTAATATTTATTAATTATATGGAGAAAAATAAACCAGATTTTTCTTCGCAACAAGTTTACTTTTTAAGAGAGCCGAGAGCAAGAGAACCTTTAAGAGAAGAGAACACAAAAATAAGTCACATATTTCTATAAAAACGAGTTATATATAGAATGAGTAGTGGTAAGGCTGATTTTTATGGTAAATATATAAAAATAAGAAATAAAGAATTAAATAAAACAATAAGTACTTTTATTTAGGTATTCCAGGGGAGGGAGGTGAATAAAAGACACAGGTAACTGGTTGATAATCAAAGTGTAACGTAAGTAATTCAGAGAGAGAGAGAGAGAGAGAGAGAGAGAGAGAGGTAGAGAAAGAGAGCGAGAGAGTGTCTGTACATACGAGTTGCAGCATCAAGGAAACTATACCGACGAGTTAAACGGCCATGAAATCTATACGGGTCTGAACTGACCTGAAAGTCCTTATAGGCTACAGACTGGCGTAAGAGGCTCGCTGGCTCAACTACACAGAATCGCTGAGCGGCGACATGATCTCCACCTCAGCTCATATGTGCAGAGACGTCAGTAAACCATGAAGTACTTTTATTGAGGACTTCCAGAGGAGGGGGAGAGTAAAAGACACAGGTAACTGGTTGATAATCAACGTGTAACGTAAGTAATTCAGAGAGAGAGAGAGAGAGATGGAGAGAGAGAGTTTGGAGGTCTGTACGGACGAGGTTGCAGCATCAAAGAAACTATACCGACGTGTTGAACGGCTAAGAAATCTATATGGGTCTGAACTGACCTGAAAGTCCTGATAGGCTACAGAGTGGCGTAAGAGGCTCACTGGCTCATCTGCACAGCATCGCTGAACCGCGACATGATCTCCACCTCAGCTCATATGTGCAGAGACGTCAGTAAACCAGGTAACTGGTTGATAATCAAAGTGTAACGGAAGTAATTGAGAGAGAGAGAGAGAGAGAGAGAGAGAAAAGTTTGGTGGGCCAAGGAGTCTGTACCGATGATATTGAGGTTTAAGAAATCTGTACAGAAGGGTTGATGGGCCATTAAATCAATTCAGAGGAGTCGAAGTTTCAAGGATTTGGTATAAACTGACCTAGGGGTCCTGAGAGACCTCAGAGTAGCATTAGAGACTGGCTGACGCAATAGCTTTTCCGTACAGAGAAGCTGACCGCTCAGCTCATTTTTACAGAGTTGCTGAGCTCTTATATTCCAGCTTATATATTCGGAGTCACTGAGTCACTCGCCAGCTAAGCTCTACAAAACCGCTGACCCGCCAGCCCTTCTGTACAGACTCGCTGGCCCAACAACTCATCTGTACAGAGGCTGTGGCCCGTCTGCGCACCCGTACAAAGTCCCTGATCGTCCAACTCTTCTGTACAGGGTCTTTGACATGCCAACTCTTCTGTACTGAATCGCTCATCTGTACAGACTCGCTGACAACTCAGCTCAGAGTGCCTGACCGGCCAGCTCATCTGTATAGACTCGCTGACCCACCAGATTATCTGTACATAATCGCTGACCCACCAACTCATCTGTACAGCGGCAATGGCTCGCCAGCTCATCCGTACAGAGTGTCTGACCGGCCAGCTCATCTGTATAGACTCGCTGACCCACCAGATCATCTGTACGGAATCGCTGAACCACCAATTTATCTGCACAGAGGCAATGGGCCGCCAGCTCATCCGTACAGAGTCGATGACCTGCCAGCTCATCTGTGCAGAGTCACTGACCCTCCAGCTCATCTGTATGTACGGAGTCGCTGATCCACCAGCTCATTTGTACAGGGATGCTGTCTTGCTAGCTAATCTGTCCGGAGTCGCTGACCCTCCAGCTCATCTACACAGAGTCTCTAACCCTCCAGCTCATCTGTACAGAGTCACTGATTCTCCAGCTCATGGGAACAGGGATTCTAACTCGCTGGCTCATTTGTACAGATTCGCTGATCCACCAGAATCATCTGTACGGAAGCGCTAACCAATCAGCTCATTTGTACAGGGATGCTGACTCGCTAGCTCATCTGTTCGGAGACGCTGACCCACCAGCTCTTCCGTACAGACTCGCTGATCCTCCAGCTCATCTGTACGGAATCGGTGACCCACTAGTTCATCTAAATAGAGACGCTGACCCTCCAGCTCAACTGTACAGACTCGCTGACCCGCCAGTTCGTATGTCCGGATTTTCTGAGCCACCAGCTCATCTGTACCAAATCGCTGACCCACCATCCTCGTTGTACAGAGTCGCTGACCCACCAGCTAAACTGAAAGAGTCCTTGACCCCTCCAGTTCATCTGTACAGCCTCTCTGACCCCTCAACTCAGTTGTACAAAATCGCTGAACCACCAGCTCATTTGTACACAGTCGCTGATCCACCGGCTCTTTTGTACAGAGTCGCTGACCCCCAAGCTCATCTGTAAAGAGTCACTGACCCGCCAGCTCTTCTGAACAGAGTCCTTGATCACACCCGCTCATCTGTATAGACTCCCTGAGCTCATCTCTACAGGGTCGCTGGCATCGCAGTTCTTCTGTACAGAGTAGTTGACCCACCAGCTCATCTCTACCGAATCGCTGACCCACCAGCTCATCTGTATGGTATCACTGAACAGCCAGCTCATCTGTACAGCCTCTCTGATTCCTCTGCTCATCTGTACGGACCCACCAGCTCATCTGTATCGCTGACCCGCCAGCTCATTTGCACAGCCTCTCTGACTTCTCTGCTCATCTGTATGGAATCGCTGACCTCTTTTGCACAAACTCGCTGACCTTCCAGCTCATCTGTGAAGAGTCGCTGACCCTCCAACTCATCTGTTCAGCGTCTCTGACCCCTCTGACAGTTACTGATCCGCCAGCTCATAGGTAAAGACTCGCTTACCCACCAGCTCATCAGTACAGAATCGTAGACTCACCAGCTCTCCTGTACAGACTCGCTGACCCCCTGCTGAACCCCTAGTACAGCCTCTCTGACCCCTGTACAGCCTCTCTGAACCCTCGGTTCATCGGTACGGAATCGCTGACCCCTCAGCTTATCTGTACGGAATCGTTGACTCATCGGCTCAACGTTACAGACCCTCCAGCTCGAAATCGCTGACCCACCAGATAACCTCTAATGACTCTCTGGCCTATCAGAAGCTAATAGGAAGACAGGAATTCTCGAAAATCTCTAACATATTTATTTACAAATTTTATTTTACAAACCTTAAGTGTATCTACAACTTATTCCTAAAATATATACAAGGACTTCCCCGATCCCCTTAGGGACATGGTAAAGGTGGCGGCGGTTCTGTTATTCCCTCCACGACAATTTCATGGAATTTCAATTTATTTCCCGTTAGCATGGCCAAATAATATCTCATTACTCCTTCCAGGGTCGGCAGACCCATTGTGGCAATTTTTTGAATCTCCTTGTCCTGTGAGATTTTGGTTAGGAGGACAAAACCCTTGGTACCCTGGTAACGCCATATTTGTATTTCACAACAGTTGTCGACAAAGGCGAGTAAAGTTTCCTGCTTCAAACGCAGTTGGATCACAGAGTGAGGATCTTGGGCGGGTATAATTTGTAGGGGATTATCCTGGAAATCTTGTTCATATAAATATATGGCTGCATCCTGTCCTGGAATGAGAGTGGCTGTGGAAAGTTTTGTCAGGGCCAATAGGGGTCGGGAGTTGTTGATTCCACCCACTTGCAGGGAGATCAGTTCGGGTGTTCGAGGAGGTTTTTGTTGGCTAGCCGGGGGGATATTGGTAAATATCCTTTCGCTGAGATTTGTGGAGGAGTATAAGAGTTTTTCGCCAGCTTCCTTTTCTCGTGAGAGGTTTTTAAGTTCTCCTAAAAACATGTGGAGGGTTTGATCAAAGTTTCGTATATTTTGTATTGTGGCAAAGAGATCGGCTGAGGAATCTTGGGTTCTGTTCTCCCTCAAAATTGAGGTAATGAAGAATGCAAAGGAATTTTGAATATCCTTATATAGGGTGTGATTCAGGGTCCCATTACTATGCACCTGCATCTCATGGAACTGCTCCGCAACTGGCCAGACAATTTGCAAAACATGACCAGTCAAGACTTGCCCTGGCGTTTCGGGTAAGGATACATTACTGAAGCTTATATTGAGCAGCTTCTTATCGTAGATTTCCTGCTGCTCCAGTTCTTCCATAATTCCAATAAAATCTGGTATTAAAAACTCATCAAAGAGATCCGATTCGGGTATGCTTAGTTGGGTGATGTTAATCTGCTGATTCAATTTATTGCTCAAGCCGAGCAGCAGGCGTTCAAGGGCCCAAGGGAAATCAGAGAATCGCTGGGTATGTGCCTCAGATTCATTGGGTTTTAAAAACGACAGACTTTCGTACTCAAATAACTCCAGAGTGGAGGGTATTTGGACATAGGATGGCTCATCCTGATATTCGCCATAATCATCATCACTATCCTCCAGGTCCTTTTTAATTTTCGTTTTCCTTTTAATTTCCGTCAGCGGGACAATCTCCACCCCGTTGGTGATCAAAAGACATGGGCATCTGGTGGATAATTTTACGAAACGGTAATTACGACTCGGAACCCGTTCCTTAAATTGGATTCTCCATTTCCTTAGGGTCTCAAAGCTGGCCAAATCCAATTCTCGTACCACATCTCGGTTTAAAACGAGAATGGAAGATCCTGAATTATTTGATCTCTGGATATCCCAAACATCTTCGAAATAAAATCTCTCCGGCGAAGTTTCATTATCTCGGGAGTTCCACACGGTTATGCCCTTGCTGAGGGAACAATTCAAGGGTTCGCTGCTTTCATAATTCGTCACAAATTGTAGCTCCGTTGAATTTGGATTTGGGACAACAACGACCTCAGCAATGGGTCCAGAATCATAGGAATGGAGATATTTAAATCCCTCATCCTTTGCCGTCCATTGATATATTCTGGAGCTGCACTCTTCGTTGAGCAACAAATAATGCTCCCCCTTGTGGGACATGTGGAAGAACCTCCTTCTGGCTGCGATTTTATTCTCCAATATCCTCAAATTATCCAATTCCATGGAAAAACTTTCCTCCACATACCGAACTTTCACCGATTTCAGGGCAATTTTCAGCCATAACTTCCTTAACATTTCACATACTTCGCCATCCATTTTTCCCCCGCCCAATACTCCTCTTCTATATCTAATAAACTGATCATAAGTCCAGGGATCATAGGTGGCATATGCGGAATACGCGAACTCATTTGGGTCCTGCTTCACCGTCAAACTTTTGGCTGACCAATTTCCTGTGACAATCTGCTTTTCCAGGTAGAGGGTCTTTAGAGAATTTTGAAACCATTTCTCCAAATCAATACCCGTCACCAAATCTGTAGTTATCACTTGAGGACTATAGAGGGAATGGAAATAGACCGGTGATTCCAAAACCAAATTCTCCTCCAATGTGGCCACATCACTGAGATTTTTATTGCCATTGACTTGGGCCAAGATCTGGAGATCCTCTAAGACCTTTAGAGATTGAATTGTTAGGGGTGTGGTAATCGATTGGCCGCCATAGATCTGAAAGAGAGAAGGAAGATTTTTTGAGAGAAGCAGAAAAGAGGCGAATTGGAGGCCAAGAGAGTCTCCATAAACGGGAACAGGATCAAGAAGTTTGTATGAAAGATCTGATGCGCCAGCGAGCTATTCTAACTGCCTAGCGAGTTTGTACGAAGATGCTGACAGCCCAAGGAGTCTGGGCGCAAGAGCTGATGGGCCAGCTTCTTGGTATAGATGATATGACAGGTCAGCGTCTCGGTCCAGAGTTGCTAAGTGGCCAGCATTTTTCCACCGAGACGCTGGCGGCTCAGCAATTCTGTACAGATGAACTGGCTGACCTGTAACACTGAGGAGAGGAGGGATCAGCGAAGAGCTGACGGGCCAACTTCTCGACGAAGAGGAGCTGTCAGGCTAGTATCTTGATACCGAGACTCAACAACTCTGTACAGATCAGTTGGCGGGCTAGTGGCTCTGTACGGAGGAGCAGGGGGCAAGAGACTCTGTGCGTAGGAAATGATGACCCAGCGACTCTATGCTGAAGAGCTCTCGGGGCAGAGAAGCTGTCGGGTCAGCATCTTGGTACCGAAACGCTGGCGGCTCAGCAACTCTGTACAGATCAGTTGGCTGGCCAGCGAAGCTGAACGGATGAGCTGGAGGCCAGAGACTCTGTGTAGAGGAGCTGATGACCCAGCGACTTTGTGTTGAAGAACTGACGGGCCAATGTCTTGGGACAGAGGAGCTGTCGGGCCTGCTTCTTGGTACCGAGACGCTGTCGGCTCAGTAAACTCTGTACAGATGTGTTGACAGGCCAGTGACTATGTGCGGGAGAGCAGGAGGGTCAGAGACTCTATGCATAGGAACCAACGACTCTATGCGGAAAAGCTTACGATGCAGTGTCTCCGAACAGATGAGCTAGCAAGTCAGCATCCCTGTACAAATGAGCTGGTAGGTCAGCGATTCCGTACAGATGATTCAGCGACTCTGTGCAGAGGAGCTGACGACCCAGCGACTTTGTGCTATGGAGCTAACGACCCAACAACTCTTTTCGGAAGAGAATTTGACTGTTCAGAGACTTTGCACAGAGGAATTGAGGAGCCAGAGTCTCTGTAAAGAATGGCCGACGGGTCAGAGTCTCTGATGACTCCGCGACTCGTGTAGCAAGTCAGCATCCCTGTACAAAAGAGCTGGTGGGTCAGCGATTCCGTACAGATGATTCTGGTGGATCAGCGACTCTGTACAGATGAGCTGGCTGCCTGGTGACTCTGTGCCATGGAGCTAACGACCCAACAACTCTTTTCGGAAGAGAAGAGGACGGTTCAGCGTCTTTCTATAGAGAAGTTGAATTTGTACAGGGGGGTTGAAGGTTCAGAGACTTTTTACAGAGGAGCTGACGGTTCAGAGTCTCCGTACAGATGAGCTGGCGGGCCAGCGACTTTGTGCAAAGGATCAACGACTCTGTGCCAAGGAGCTGACGACCCAACAACTCTTTTCAGCCGAGATGAAGGGTCAGCGTCTCTTTACAAAGGAGTTGAAGGACTAGAGTCTCTGTACATGGGTGCTGACGGGTGTTGAAGGGCCAGAGTCTCTATACAGAGGAGCTGACGGGTCAGAGTCTCTGTACAGATGAACTGGCGGGTCAGCGACTCCGTGTAGTAGAGCTGACGACCCAACAACTCATTTCGGAAGAGCTGACGGGTCAGCCTCCTTGTACAGAGGAGTTGAGGGGCCAGAGTCTCTATAAAGAGGAGCGGACGGGTCAGCGACTTTGTACAGTGGATTTGATGGGACATGGAGTTTGTACAGATGAGTTAACAGGTCAGCGTCTTGGTACAGTGGAGTTGACAGGCCAGGTAGTTTGAACAGCTAAACAGAAGGACCAGCTTCGTTGTACACAGAAGTTGTCGGGCCAGCGTCTTTGTCTAAAGGAGTTGAAGCGCCAGAGCCTCTGTACAGAGGAGTTGACAGGTCAGCGTCTTTGTACAGGCCAGGGTGTTTGAACAGATAAACAGAAGGACCAGCCTCGTTGTACAGAGGAGTTGTCGGGTCAGCGTCTTTGTCTAAAGGAGTTGAAGTGCCAGAGTCCCTGTACAGAGGAGTTGGCAGACCAGCATCTTTGGAGGAGCTGACAGGTCAGCGTCTATGAACTGTAGAATTGACAGGCCTGGGAGTTTGCACAGAGGTCCTAAAAGACCAGCGACTTTGTTCAAAGGCCTCGACGGGACAGAGACCCGGTACAGAGGACCTGACAGGCCAGGAAGTTTGTACAGAGGATCTGAAGGACCAGGTTTTACGGGTTAGAGTTCTTGTAGAGTGGATTAGACTGGCCAGAGTCTACACAAAGGAGTTAACGGGCCAGAGTTTCTCTATAGAGGAGTTGACGGGTCAGCGTCTTGCTGCGAAGTAGTTGACGGACCAGGGAGTTTACACAGAGGAGCTGACGGGTCAGCGTCAGAGAATTTGTTGGGCTAGGGAGTTTGTAGAAAGAAGCAGACGGACCAGAGTATCTGTACATGGGAGCAGACGGGTTAGCGTCTTTCTCCTAAGGAGTTGATGGGTTAGCGTATTTCTCCTATGAAGTTGATAGGCCAGGGAGTTTGTACAGAGTAACAGATGAGTCTCCTTCAGACCCTCTGTATATTTCTAAGCCTTCGGATAAGCTATGGTTTTACATCAGACCTATATCGAGATACTTTCTACTCACCATTAGCGTATTATTGTACTCCTCTTCCAAATCTAGGCCATTCACGGAACCATTAACCTCTATGAAGCCATCGTGAAGGTAAAGCTCGGAAAATTGCAGAGATTCATTGAAAATCTGTGGTGTGTTCAGGGTTATGATGCGCGACAGATCCAAGTGATTAATGAAGGCAACATTTAGAGAGTTGCCATCCAGCGAACCGGGGGCAAAGTGTAAATAATCTAAAAAGAGGAGGGTAAAAATTTAAGGATCTTTAATATTTGGAAATTTTGAACCAGGACTTACGTGGAATATATTGATCCTGATCCAATCTCAGCGTATCATTTAACCAATCCGCAATGGAACAATTATTAATTTTCTGGGTCTTTAGCGATTTGTGTATGGAAATCTGTTTGGCCTTGGTGGGGGCCTTAAATAGCAAAGGCGAGGTAATGACCAGGGGTTCCGCACCCTGAATGAAGCTGAGTTTCTCAAAAAGTTGCCGCAAATTCAAATCGTTGAGCTGCTCAATATAGGCCCCCTGGGTAATGGAGACCCTTCCGGTGAAATTATTCTGCCCCTGCAAATGACAGGGCTGAGATTTGTAGATTATGTTATCAAAGAAATCAGAAATGTTTCGTAGTTCCATGAAGTCTCCCAGGACGCTGAGATCTTCCACTACCAAGGGTTGATCGAATTCCACAAGGCCTTTGAGTACAAAGTTTTGCTCCTTGGGATCGTAGTAAAGAGTCTCCTGTAAGTTTTCAAAATCCATATCATTTGCCCGACCCTGGACCTCTAGGTGGGGTGTGATGAGCTTTCCTTTGATTTTCACAGAGCCTGGGAAAATATTCTCCCGGGTCTTTAAGGCAATGTTGTGGAAGGGCACTCCATTGATGGCCTCCACTTGGGTATTTCCCAGAACATAGACGGGTTTTATGAAACTTTTGGGAGCTGTTATGATGTGTGAGGACAGGTTTGAGTCCCGCAAGACCATGTCTTCCAAGAACTCAGGCAAGGGAAGTCCTTGATATTTTCCCTTGACCTCCAGATTGGCTTGTATATCCAAGGGATTTTTGAAGGTCAAGTTGCTGGTCAGGTGATTGGGTCGATTGAGCCAGATCACCGACATTTGTATGTCCTCATCGAATTGCTGACCATTTAGCTTATGGACCTGGACATCTCCTGTGACTGTGATGTGATCCACCTGGATCTGGCCATTGAGCACCATTTCGGGCAGCTCTTCAATCCTTTGCAGAAAATCCAATAAATATTCGGCATTTATGCCATGCAGCTCATCGGCCTGGAGACCCTGATGGGCCTGTAACTCATTGAGGAAAAGATTACCCTGTACTGCAGGTTCATGCCAGGCCCGATCCTTGACAAAGTCATGCAGTTCAATGTTGTTCAGCTTGCCAGGACCCACAATGTCATTGGCAAACTCCGCTGTGGTGGCCTGCAGATGTTCAAATTCTGCCGTCTCCACCACCAAATCCTCGTTGAGAGTCTGCAGGCTATCCTTGATATTTAAACCATTGATTTTATCCAATATTACCAAGGAGTCCGCCTGCAATTCTCCCTCAAATATCAATTGGGTGGCACCCAAATCCAAAGGCTTATCCAAACTGATAACCTCTTGGGCCACATCTTGGATCCTCAAACCATCATAGAGCCCCTTGACGGTTAGGTTATAGAAATACACATATCCTTCTAGCTGTTCCAGCTCCAAAACCTGTTGAGTATGGATTGTGACAAATTTCTCGGTGGGGATATCATTGATCTTATTCTCCTCCAGTTCAAAATCAATGGGCATACGTATGAGGTTAAAGGATTTCCGGGAGCTGACCACAATATCCTCATTGGGATTGTCGGGTTTTTGCACAATCTCTCTCAGCAGCTCTCCCAAGGGTTTGTCATCGAGGTCTCCTTTGATTACAATGGGTCCATTAACCTGCAGTTCATCAAAAACACAGGCAGCCTCAATGATGTTTGCCTCCTCCAGGGTGGGGTTTTGAGGGAAATTCGCCACATTACGCCCATGGGCAGTGCCATTTAACTGGGGAAGAGGGTAACCTTATTTGGGGAGGCTAGTATATTTTCTTTAGACTTACCTCCAAAACTTCCGACACTTCCAATTGATTGAACACTGGCGAGCCCAGCCATTCCTGGCCATGCATTAGAGTAATGGCATCCACCGGGTTTCGTTCATTGATGTGGCCATCTGTGTCCACCGAATTGGCTGTCAAGGTATTATTGAAAAATTTCTCGGACTTGACAATCGAAGATCTGGGTCCCTGGGCCACCAAATAATCATCGGGAAAGGCCAAGGAGTTCAGGGTGGTAATTTGGAAACGATTTTCCACGATGACATCCTGAAAACAGAGGGGAGCAAGGGAGAAATTAATATGGAAGCAGATTAGATAAAAGGTCGGAGAGCCTACGGAGGGTCGCCAAGGTCTCTAGAGGATTCACCGTTGATGAGAACAATGGCATTTTAGTTGCGGAATTTTGAATAAATAAAATATCGAATCAAAATTATATTTTGTCTTCTTCCCAAATGGCGGCCAGATTTTGGTATGGTATGTATTCACAAAGAAATTAATAGAGGAACGTCTCCAATTTAATTTGCTTCAATACGCATCGATGTAGCTCCTAAAATGCCCGAGATATTACAAAAATACTCAAGCTTCCCAAATTTTTCAGCCACTCATATTTTTTGCGCAGCCACTTTCTGGAGGCCATAACTTTCGAAAATGACATTTAAATTTGCTCATGTAAAAGGTATTTAGAAAGAGGAATATGTGAGCTACAAAATTGCTGAAAGTCATGCCATTGCAACTCTTAAAACATAAGAGTTATAGCCAAAAATAGACATGTACCCAAATTTTTGACTTTGAGGAATTTTATTGGCTATCGGGTTTTAGGGGCCATAAATATTCAAAAAGCTCCCATATTCTGACAAAATTAAATGAATTTGGAAAAGGGGAAATATATCCTACAAAATTCGTAAAAGTTATGCTGATGCAACTCTTAAAACATAAGAGATATAGCCAAAAATAGACATGTACCCAATTTTTTGACCTTCATGGATTTTGTTGGCTTTCGGTTTTTAGGGGCCATAACTATTCAAAAAGCTCCCATATTCTGAAAAAATTAAATGAATTTGGAAAGGGGGAAATATATCCTACAAAATTCCTAAAAGTTATGCTGATGCAACTCTTAAAACTTAAGAGATATTGCCAAAAATAGGTAAGTAGGTGGGGACCTTAAAAAAATGATCAAAAATAATAGCTAAAAACGCCGAAAACTCAATATTTAAGGAGTTATGGCCATTTTAAAATTCCTATTATTTCACACTTAAAAAAGTGATCACAAATAATAGCTAAAAACGCTGAAAACTCAATATTTAAGGAGTTATGGCCATTTTAAAATTCCTATTATTTCACACTTAAAAAAGTGATCACAAATAATAGCTAAAAACGCTGAAAACTCAATATTTAAGGAGTTATGGCCATTTTAAAATTCCTATTATTTCACACTTAAAAAAGTGATCACAAATAATAGCTAAAAACGCTGAAAACTCAATATTTAAGGAGTTATGGCCATTTTAAAATTCCTATTATTTCACACTTAAAAAAGTGATCACAAATAATAGCTAAAAACGCTGAAAACTCAATATTTAAGGAGTTATGGCCATTTTAAAATTCCTATTATTTCACACTTAAAAAAGTGATCACAAATAATAGCTAAAAACGCTGAAAACTCAATATTTAAGGAGTTATGGCCATTTTAAAATTCCTATTATTTCACACTTAAAAAAGTGATCACAAATAATAGCTAAAAACGCTGAAAACTCAATATTTAAGGAGTTATGGCCATTTTAAAATTCCTATTATTTCACACTTAAAAAAGTGATCACAAATAATAGCTAAAAACGCTGAAAACTCAATATTTAAGGAGTTATGGCCATTTTAAAATAATAGCTAAAAACGCTGAAAACTCAATATTTAAGGAGTTATGGCCATTTTAAAATTCCTATTATTTCACACTTAAAAAAGTGATCACAAATAATAGCTAAAAACGCTGAAAACTCATTATTTAAGGAGTTATGGCCATTTTAAAATAATAGCTAAAAACGCTGAAAACTCAATATTTAAGGAGTTATGGCCATTTTAAAATTCTTACTAATTCACACTTAAAAAAGTGATCACAAATAATAGCTAAAAACGCTGAAAACTCAATATTTAAGGAGTTATGGCCATTTTAAAATTCTTACTAATTCACACTTAAAAAAGTGATCACAAATAATAGCTAAAAACGCTGAAAACTCAATATTTAAGGAGTTATGGCCATTTTAAAATTCCTATTATTTCACACTTAAAAAAGTGATCACAAATAATAGCTAAAAACGCTGAAAACTCAATATTTAAGGAGTTATGGCCATTTTAAAATTCCTATTATTTCACACTTAAAAAAGTGATCACAAATAATAGCTAAAAACGCTGAAAACTCAATATTTAAGGAGTTATGGCCATTTTAAAATTCCTATTATTTCACACTTAAAAAAGTGATCACAAATAATAGCTAAAAACGCTGAAAACTCAATATTTAAGGAGTTATGGCCATTTTAAAATTCTTACTAATTCACACTTAAAAAAGTGATCACAAATAATAGCTAAAAACGCTGAAAACTCAATATTTAAGGAGTTATGGCCATTTTAAAATTCCTATTATTTCACACTTAAAAAAGTGATCACAAATAATAGCTAAAAACGCTGAAAACTCAATATTTAAGGAGTTATGGCCATTTTAAAATTCTTACTAATTCACACTTAAAAAAGTGATCACAAATAATAGCTAAAAACGCTGAAAACTCAATATTTAAGGAGTTATGGCCATTTTAAAATTCCTATTATTTCACACTTAAAAAAGTGATCACAAATAATAGCTAAAAACGCTGAAAACTCAATATTTAAGGAGTTATGGCCATTTTAAAATTCTTACTAATTCACACTTAAAAAAGTGATCACAAATAATAGCTAAAAACGCTGAAAACTCAATATTTAAGGAGTTATGGCCATTTTAAAATTCCTATTATTTCACACTTAAAAAAGTGATCACAAATAATAGCTAAAAACGCTGAAAACTCAATATTTAAGGAGTTATGGCCATTTTAAAATTCTTACTAATTCACACTTAAAAAAGTGATCACAAATAATAGCTAAAAACGCTGAAAACTCAATATTTAAGGAGTTATGGCCATTTTAAAATTCCTATTATTTCACACTTAAAAAAGTGATCACAAATAATAGCTAAAAACGCTGAAAACTCAATATTTAAGGAGTTATGGCCATTTTAAAATTCTTACTAATTCACACTTAAAAAAGTGATCACAAATAATAGCTAAAAACGCTGAAAACTCAATATTTAAGGAGTTATGGCCATTTTAAAATTCCTATTATTTCACACTTAAAAAAGTGATCACAAATAATAGCTAAAAACGCTGAAAACTCAATATTTAAGGAGTTATGGCCATTTTAAAATTCTTACTAATTCACACTTAAAAAAGTGATCACAAATAATAGCTAAAAACGCTGAAAACTCAATATTTAAGGAGTTATGGCCATTTTAAAATTCCTATTATTTCACACTTAAAAAAGTGATCACAAATAATAGCTAAAAACGCTGAAAACTCAATATTTAAGGAGTTATGGCCATTTTAAAATTCTTACTAATTCACACTTAAAAAAGTGATCACAAATAATAGCTAAAAACGCTGAAAACTCAATATTTAAGGAGTTATGGCCATTTTAAAATTCCTATTATTTCACACTTAAAAAAGTGATCACAAATAATAGCTAAAAACGCTGAAAACTCAATATTTAAGGAGTTATGGCCATTTTAAAATTCTTACTAATTCACACTTAAAAAAGTGATCACAAATAATAGCTAAAAACGCTGAAAACTCAATATTTAAGGAGTTATGGCCATTTTAAAATTCCTATTATTTCACACTTAAAAAAGTGATCACAAATAATAGCTAAAAACGCTGAAAACTCAATATTTAAAGAGTTATGGCCATTTTAAAATTCTTACTAATTCACACTTAAAAAAGTGATCACAAATAATAGCTAAAAACGCTGAAAACTCAATATTTAAGGAGTTATGGCCATTTTAAAATTCCTATTATTTCACACTTAAAAAAGTGATCACAAATAATAGCTAAAAACGCTGAAAACTCAATATTTAAAGAGTTATGGCCATTTTAAAATTCTTACTAATTCACACTTAAAAAAGTGATCACAAATAATAGCTAAAAACGCTGAAAACTCAATATTTAAGGAGTTATGGCCATTTTAAAATTCCTATTATTTCGCACTTAAAAAAGTGATCACAAATAATAGCTAAAAACGCTGAAAACTCAATATTTAAGGAGTTATGGCCATTTTAAAATTCCTATTATTTCACACTTAAAAAAGTGATCACAAATAATAGCTAAAAACGCTGAAAACTCAATTTTTAAGGAGTTATGGCCATTTTAAAATTCTTACTAATTCACACTTAAAAAAGTGATCACAAATAATAGCTAAAAACGCTGAAAACTCAATATTTAAGGAGTTATGGCCATTTTAAAATTCTTACTAATTCACACTTAAAAAAGTGATCACAAATAATAGCTAAAAACGCTGAAAACTCAATATTTAAGGAGTTATGGCCATTTTAAAATTCCTATTATTTCACACTTAAAAAAGTGATCACAAATAATAGCTAAAAACGCTGAAAACTCAATATTTAAGGAGTTATGGCCATTTTAAAATTCCTATTATTTCACACTTAAAAAAGTGATCACAAATAATAGCTAAAAACGCTGAAAACTCAATATTTAAGGAGTTATGGCCATTTTAAAATTCTTACTAATTCACACTTAAAAAAGTGATCACAAATAATAGCTAAAAACGCTGAAAACTCAATATTTAAGGAGTTATGGCCATTTTAAAATTCCTATTATTTCACACTTAAAAAAGTGATCACAAATAATAGCTAAAAACGCTGAAAACTCAATATTTAAGGAGTTATGGCCATTTTAAAATTCCTATTATTTCACACTTAAAAAAGTGATCACAAATAATAGCTAAAAACGCTGAAAACTCAATATTTAAGGAGTTATGGCCATTTTAAAATTCTTACTAATTCACACTTAAAAAAGTGATCACAAATAATAGCTAAAAACGCTGAAAACTCAATATTTAAGGAGTTATGGCCATTTTAAAATTCTTACTAATTCACACTTAAAAAAGTGATCACAAATAATAGCTAAAAACGCTGAAAACTCAATATTTAAGGAGTTATGGCCATTTTAAAATTCCTATTATTTCACACTTAAAAAAGTGATCACAAATAATAGCTAAAAACGCTGAAAACTCAATATTTAAGGAGTTATGGCCATTTTAAAATTCCTATTATTTCACACTTAAAAAAGTGATCACAAATAA